AATCCCGAAATCCCGAACTGCGTTTTCGGTACCGAAATCCCGAACGCACGTCGGGATGTAATCATCCCCTGCCAAAAAAACGACTTAGTAAAATCCTGAAATCCCGAAGTGCGTTTTCGGTACCAAGATCCGGAACGCACGTCGGGATATAATCCCCCCCACCAAAAAAAAAAACTAAGTAAAATCCCGAAATCCCGAAGTGCGTTTTTGACACCGAAATCCCGGACGCACATCGGGATATAATCCCGTCCCCGCCAAAAAAAAAACTAAGTAAAATCCCGAAATCCCGAAGTGCGTTTTCGGTACCGGAATCCTAAACGCACATCGGGATATAATCACCCCCCCCAAAAAAAACGACTACGTAAGATCCCGAAATCCCGAAGTGCGTTTTCTGTACCGAAATCCCGAACGCGCGTCGGGATATAATCCCCCCCCCAAAAAAAAAAACAACTAAATAAAATCCGGAAATCCCGAAGTGCATTTTCGGTACCGAAATCCCGAACGCACATCAGGATATAATCCCCCCCGGCCAAAAAAACAACTAAGTAAAATTCCAAACTCCCGAAGTGCGTTTTCGGTACTGAAATCCCGAACGCACGTCGGGATATAATCCCCTCCCCAAGAAAAACGCCTAAGTAAAATCCTGAAATCCCGAAGTGCGTTTCGGTACCGAAATCCCGAACGCACGTTGGGATATAATCCCTCCCCGCCAAAAAAAAAACAAAGTAAAATCCCGAAATCCCAAAGTGCGTTTTCGGTACCGAAATCCCGAACGCACGTCGGGATATAATCCCCCCCCGCCAAAAAAAAAACAAAGTAAAATCCCGAAATCCCAAAGTGCGTTTTCGGTACCGAAATCCCGAACGCACGTCAGGATATAATCCCCCCCACAAAAAAAAACGCCTAAGTAAAATCCCGAAGTGCGTATTCGGTACCAAAATCCCGAACGCACGTCGGGATATAATCACCCTCCCCAAAAAAAACGACTAAGTAAAATCGCGAAATCCCGAAGTGTGTTTTCGGTACCGAAATCCCGAACGTACGTCAGGATATAATCACCCCCCCCAAAAAAAACAACTAAGTAAAATCTTGAAGTCCCGAAGTGCGTTTTCGGTTTCGAAATCCCGAACGCACGTCGAGATATAATCCCCCCCCGCGAAAAAAAAAAAGAAGTACAACCCCGAAATCCTGAAGTGCATTTTCGGTACCGAAATGCCGAATTCACATCCGGATATAATCCCCCCCCCGCCAAAAAAACAACTAAGTAAAATCCCGAAATTCCGAAGTGCGTTTTCGGTACCCAAATCCCGAACGCACGTCGGGATATAATCCTTCCCCCCAAGAAAAACGCCTAAGTAAAATCTTGAAATCCCGAAGTGCGTTTTCGGTACCGAAATCCCGAACGCACGTAAAGATATAATCCCCCCCCCAAAAAAAACACCCAAGTAAAATTCTGAAATCCCGAAGTGCATTTTCTGTATCGAAATCCCGAATGCACGTCGGGATATATTCAAACCCCCCCCAAAAAAACGACTGAGTAAAATCCCCAAATCCCGAAGTGTGTTTTTGGTACCGAAATCCCGAACGCACGTCGAGATATAATCATCCCCCGCCAAAAAACCGACTAAGTAAAATCCCGAAATCTCGAAGTGCGTTTTCGGTACCAAAATCCCGAACAAACGTCGGGATATAATCCCCCCCCGCCAAAAAAAAAACTTAGATCTCGAAATTCTGAAGTGCATTTTCGGCACCGAAATCCCTAATTTACGCCGGGATATAATCCCCCCCCGCCAAAAAAAAACTAAGTAAGATCCCGAAATCCCAAAGTGCGTTTTCAGTTCCGAAATCCTGAATGCACGTCGGGATATAATCACCCCCCCCCAAAAAAACGACCAAGTAAAATCCCAAAATCCCGAAGCGTGTTTTCGGTAACGAAATCCCAAACGCACGTCGGGATATAATTATACCCCCCCAAAAAACCAACTAAATAAAATCCTGAAATCCCAAAGTGCGTTTTCGGTTTCGAAATCCCGAACGCACGTCGGGATATAATCGGCCTCCGCCAAGAAAAAAACTAAGTAAAATCCCGAAATCCCGAAGTGCATTTTCGGTACCGAAATCCCGAATGCACGTCAGGATATAATCCCCCGCCGCCAAAAAAACAACAAAGTAAAATCCCCAAATCCCGAAGTGCGTTTTCGGTACCAAAATCCCGAACGCACGTCGGGATATAATCCCCGCCCCCAAGAAAAACGCCTAAGTAAAATCCCGAAATCCCGAAGTGCATTTCGGTACCGAAATCCCGAACGGACGTCGGGATATAATCCCCCCCCGCCCAAAAAAAAACTAAGTAAAATCCCGAAATCCCGAAGTGTGTTTTCAGTACCGAAATCCCGAACCCATGTCAGGATATAATCCCCCCCCCAAAAAAAAGCGCCTAAGTAAAATCCCCAAATCCCGAAGTGCATTAAATCCTGAACGCACGTCGGGATATAATCACCTTCCCCCAAAAAAACGACTAAGTAAAATCTCGAAATCCCGAAGTGTGTTTTCGGTACCGAAATCCCGAATGCACGTCGGGATGTAATCACCCCCCCACAAAAAAACGACTAACTAAAATCCCTAAATCCCGAAGTGCGTTTTCGGTACCGAAATCCTGAACGCACGTCGGGATATAATCACCCCCCGCAAACAAAACGACTAAGTAAAATCCCAAAATCCCGAAGTGCGTTTTCGGTACCGAAATCCCGAACGCACGTCGGGATATAATCCCCCCCGGCCAAAAAAAAAACTAAGTAAAATCCCGAAATCCCGAAGTACGTTTTCGGTACCGAAATCTTGAACGCACATCGGGATATAATCCCCTCCCGCCAAAAAAAAAACTAAGTAAAATTCTGAAATCTCGAAGTGCGTTTTTGGTACTGAAATCCCGAACGCACGTCGGGATATAATCACCCTTCTAAAAAAAACGACTAAGTGAAATCCCGAAATCCCGAAGTGGGTTTTCGGTACCGAAATCCCGAACGCACGTCGGGATATAATCCCCCTCCGCCAAAAAAAAAACTAAATACAATCCCGAAATCCCGAAGTGCGTTTTCGGTCTTGAAATCTCGAAATCACGTCGGGATATAATCCCCCCCTGCCAAAAAAACGACTAAGTAAAACTGGAAGTGCAATTCCGAGATATTCGTGATTGCCCATAACTTGTAATTCTCTAAAAAATGACACTTCGTTGATCTCAAAATACGAACTCATAAATGTTCATTTCCTTTTCTCCAAATGTTTTTCGCGATTTCGCCAACCCTTCATAAATAAGCTTCGCTATCCAATTCGGCGTATTTTTCGGGGTCCATTGGTCACGAATGCGCATATTCTACCGTGTGGATTCAAATCGGAGGGATCAACTTCGCATCCAGTCGCCCCTTCTGGTGATCACTAAAGGCAAATGGAAGGTGAAATTCCTGGCAGGTCCTTTTGATAAGGCGAGTTTCTTATTCCGTTAAGAACCCATTTATCCCTATCTTCATTGTGTCAGCTACCTCATCTGGTATCCGATGTCCCTCCGTCAACCTTCTTTCTCGGATCACTCGAAGGACCACTTCCTCCTTCTCCATAGCCTCTTTCTTTGATGTCTCTAGCAGGATCGAGGAAAGATGGTTAACCGGTGCATATATTTTCAAGTCTCTTTTCCAGGCAGTTCAACCACTTTAGGTTACTACACCACTTTCAGATTGTGTGTGGATCTATACATGGGGTTGTTTGAAACCGCCTTCAGGCAGTTCAGCCACTTTAGGTTGATACACCATTTTCAGATTGCCTACAGATCCATTGCAAATGGTGGAATAGGGGTACCTGAAACCCCTTTCAGAAGCTTCAACCACTTCAGCAGTTTCAGGTCCCCACCTGGAATTCCTGAAATGACCTGAAGTGGCTGAAGCTTCTGAAAGGGGTTTCAGGTACCTCCCTGAAACCCCTTTCAGAAGCTTCAGCCACTTCAACGGTTTCAGGTCCCCACCTGAAATTCCTGAAATGACCTGAAGTGGTTGAAGCTTCTGAAAGGGTTTTAAGGTACCCCCATTCAAATTCAGGTACCCCCATCCAACCATTTGGATGGGGGTACTTGAAATCCCATTCAGAAGCTTCAAACACTTCAGTGGTTTCAGGTACCCATTTGAAATTCCTAAAATGACCTGAAGTGGCTGAAAAAACAGGCAGAAAAAAAAAAGAACATAAAACTTGTTCTGCAAACCACCCGAAACTTCTGAAATGACCTGAAGTATCTTCATGCCATTTCAGCGGTTTCAGACCACTTCAGAATCTTTCATTCTGAAATTTCAAGTGGTCGTTAACCGCAAGTGGGATCGAGACCGGTTTTGGTTTCTTCCCTACCGGCTTGTACTTTCGAACACTTCCTTCTGGGATCTTTCTTCTAAAAAATGAACAGTCAGAATCGCCCCCGTCGCCTTTACGACTCGTGGTTGAATACTAACTAGTTTCCCCTTCAGGCAATGTCCCATTTGCACCTCTCTTTTGAACTTGGCCAAGACTGCCGAATCCACTCCTGCCTTGTGGTATCTGAGGGCCTTGATGAGTTGTAATAGATCGGGGATCTCGGGTGCGATTTCTGACACGTCTATGCGTACTTCTTTTCGTTTGGGCAGGCTAGCACCAAGTTCGACCTCTGACTCCTTTTCCGCTACCATAACACCTAGGACTTCGCCCTCCTGCCTCCTCTTGTTCTGGGGCAGGTCCATCTTGATCCACTCCTTCTTGTTGAATGCTTCCTATATCATGATTTCTACCCTTTCTCTCATACCCTCCATCCATGCGAAAGCCCCTTTTCGCGTGCTATCCTCGAACGACGGCGACCATGTTGCCAATTTCTCCTTCGGGGGGTCTCCTCCCGTTCCAAGGAGTCGAAAGAGCTCTCCCCGGCCGGTCACAGGGTCCTCTATGTCTACCATGTACGAGTCATCGTGCAAGTGCATGCCTATCATCGCTACGTTCGCGCACCACGGTCTCCCGAGGATTATGTCGTGGTCCATTTCCTCCATTACGGTCATCCGCTGAAACGACCAGATCGATTCCCTGACCCCTACCTTCACAGTACACTTCGTGACGTACTATCGAACGGGATTTCCCCGCCAGCTCCCCGGATGCTCCCTGTTACTTTCTTGTTTACCGAACATCCCATAATCATTGCGAAATCTCTCCTTATGACAGTGATTTCTGCTCCCCCGTCTACTAATGCGTCGGTATGATGACTCCCGATGTGGATTTTCTGTTTCCCTACGGGCAGCGCATGAAAGCTAAACTTTGTCCCGGGTGGTGATCTAATGACTTCGCCGCCCTCCCGGTCGGGCGAGCTCAAACGAATGTCTGCAAAGGCTTTTTCGAGATCCTTCAAGTCCCCATGACTCCTTTGAAGGTTAGCCACTTCTTGCGGAGCTTCCTCCTCCCTCTCCCCTTCTGGTAATTCGGGGTTGTCGCCTATTTCTACTCGCCTCTGAGTCAACAGTTGTCTGAGCTCTTTGAGCAACCTAGGGCTAGCCTGCAGCATGCTCTGAAAAGATACCGACACCATGGCTCCTACTAACTTGCTAATGGTGTCGTCGAGCTGAAGCAAGGTTAAGATCGGGATTTGATACCTAAACTTCTTCTTAGCGTCGGTAACCTTGTCCGCAGGCTCCTCTTCACTAGGCTTCCCATAGACTTTCTCTGGTTCCTCGGCCTCAGGCTCTGCTTGGGGTTCGGAGCTTCCGACGACCTCCTCCATAATGGTGTCACGGTTAATCCTTCTCCCGACCGTTCCCAATCGAGTGGTTGCGTTCACCCTATCACGTCCATCGCTTTCCAAAATAAAGTTGGTCTGCGGCCCGCGCCCTCGGAGTTGATCGCAGATGATCTCGCCCACTAGTTCGGCTTCTACGGCTGTTATTTCTAACCCGTTGAGCATGATAATGGCTCGCCGCATCCCTCCTAGCGAGTTCCAGTTCACCCGTTCCCCTTATGGTCCAAATATCTCCCCCTTTAATGACCTGGTACACCTTCTTTTTAGAATATCATGGTTGAGCTTTGGGCACGCGCGCACATAATGTCCTATCGCGGTACAGTACTTGCATTGCTCGTTAGCAGGATCTCTCCGTCCGAATCCCCGGTTGGCTACACTTGGCGGAACCACAGCTTCCTGGGGAGGGAGGGCGGGTCGGGATACTTGCGCCTGCATAACCAGTAGCGCGCCTTCCATCCTTTCAATTTTATTGTCGACCCCATGCACCCATTCATGTAGACTTTCAATCCCCTTCTTTACCTTGTCGCCCGCCCTACCGGTCAGATCTATGATCTCTCCTTCCTTGAGCAAGCCCAACGTTTTTGTCACTACCGTTTTTTCAGCCAGATCCGTTACCGTGCTAAAATCAACATCTTGCGTGTTTACAAACTTGCTCGTCTGTTGGTAAGCTGACAGGATCTTGTCTTTGTCGAACTCGGAGAACTGCCTGAGGAAATATTTGCTCATTATCCGGTCCGTGACCCCGGGGATCCTTAGTGCTACTAGAGTAAATTCCTGTAGGAAATTATTGTACGTTGCGAAGTTCTTCCTCTGAACTGCCGCTAGGTCGGCCTCCATTGCCATTATTTCTGCTGCTAGGTACTTCCTCATCATCACATCCTCGGTCTCCTTCCAAGATCGGCTTGCGGCTACAATGACCATTATGTCCCGTCCTAGGCTTAACGACGCATGCTGTCCTAGATGGTCCATCTTTTCCTCCTCGGTCCACTTTAGTAACGCAATTAGGTTCTCGCAGTCGATCAGGAACTCCGTGATGTTTGCTCCATCGAAAGTCAACTTTTTCTTGGCATCTGCCAGATAGCCTTGGTTCTTATTCAGTGCTCGTGTGAGGGATGATACTATCTTCCTAAGGCCGCCTTCGGAGCTACTGGCCTCGCCTGCCATGCTGGTATCTGGCCCGTCCTTGCTGACTTTCTGCCCCCCTCTAGTCTTTGTCGTTCCTTCCGGGTCGAACCAACCCAACACCCTTTCTCTGAGGCTCCATAGAGAACATAGGGTCGAATATCGTACTCACCGGTGTCAAGGAACTTCACCACAAGGATATACGCCTTCCCAGATGCGTGTTTCTCCTCCAGGGATATGCAGCGTTCTATCTTGTACGGGAAAGCTCCTCCACCGGTAAAAGGAACTAGGGTGTCCAGTACTGCCGTTACCGCCGGACAGTAACCAGTCATTGCCTAATTCCTAACTTCTCTTAGTATCACTCTCAACCTTCCATATTTATCATAGACTTTGTGCTCGCCTTCTACTCCATAGACGTCGGTGTCAATATAGAGTTCACCTTCGGCCTCGTCGATGCAAGACGCGTCTCTCCTGATTTCTACTACCTCTGTTACTGGATCTCGAAGCCTCCTACAAATCAAAGTCTCTAACAAGCATTGGTCCTCACGGCTCCAACCGCGAATGAGGGCTCTCGCCTTCTCGGATTTTTGTCTTGTCAGCTCCTTCTCTATCCCCTATCTTACTAAGTTACCTTCTATTGGGTTTTCATGATTGCCTTTCGCCATCTCATAATTTCTCCATCCTTAGCCAGCCCTGCATTCACCGAGATTCTATCTAAGAAGCCAACAAGTTTCCTGCCTTTGTCAAGTGATAGAAAATTCAGGAGATCCTTCGTCCTGGATTTCGAACCGACGTACAAAGGTATCGAAAAACACCGTCTTTGGTCGCATGACTAAGTCATTCTCTCTTGTTTTACCAACCACGGGAATAACTTATAGAAGAGGCGCCCAGTCTCTCCTGTCAGCGAAGTTATCCCTAGTCAGAAAACTAGGGAGTCTCTCAAATTGCCTGACTCGTTTCCCCCAAGTCACTTTCTCATGGAAGCTTCGAAGTAACTCCCTTACCCTTGAAAGGTGAATGTACACTCTCCTCAGACACTCTAAATAACCTTTTTCTTCTCTTATTCCTTCCTGAGCATAAACCCTCACGTCAAGCTCGTCAGATTTAAGAAATCTGACCACTGGAAAATAGAATACTAAACGCCCTTTCTTACAGACGTCGTGTCTCAATATCTCGAACGGACTGTCGGTCTCAGTTACTTTATCTAACCATCCTCTATGAATGGTCACAATCGCAATCGACTTAGAGTTTTCACATTCCAATATCATTGCCTTGGGCTGCTTCTAGCGCCTCTAGCCAGACTGTCCGCAGGATGCTGTCTAGATAGGATGGTCTCATCCCTCGCATGCAGCATCACTCTCTTGCCGTCCGAACTCTTGCAATCCAACAGATACCTAATCTTAGTCTCATCCGTAATTGCTCTAAAAGAAGTCGCTCGCATAAGCTCAAGGTAGTGCTCTACCATGCCAATCTCATCGCGCCTACCTAGCCTAGTGTCGCATCCCCTCACGGCCCCGATGACAGTCGCTCGTTGCTCATCTAGATAGACATCGAAGCAGAAGCTCTCTCCGTCATCAGGAATGTTGACATCTCTTGGCATGGCTCCCCACACTCGGTCCCTAAGTACCGCGTTGAGGATTGGTCCCCAGTCCTTCCCAGCGCAGAAGTTAGCGGGCACAAGCGGACTTGGGAATCTCTCAAATTCTCTAGGCTGGACACTCCAAGTCACTTTCTTCCCTCATTGTCTCAGCAACAGCCTTTCATCCAGAACATATTCAGCCGCAGTTATCCAACACGCTTCATAATCGATCCCTCTCCTTGTCTCAGCAGATACATATGGCCTCACATCATAGTCATCCGTATTGAGAAATCGAGCTACAAGGACGTACAAGGTCACTGAGTCGTGCTCACAAGTCACACACCTCTCAATGACGTACGGGAAGGCACCCCCAGTCATGATCCTAGTCAGCACCTCTATCGCTTTCGTTACTGCTGACATTGACTACTTACCAGGTTTTCCTCCTCAATGCTGCATTGATGATTGGCTGCCAGTTCCTACCATCGCATAACCCTTTAGGTACTGGCAGGGTAAGAATCCTCTCATAAATCCTAGGCAGTAAGCTCCAACTCGCTTCTATCCCTTGCTGTCTCAACTGATCCCTCTCGACTTTGACACACTCCACTATGACATCCCAGTTAGTAAAGAAACTAGGGTCCTGATCTAGAGACAAGCACATGCACAGGTACTGCATTTAACAAACATATAAGGGAAAGCACCACCGCAGGTGACATGAGTTAGGGCTTCTAGGACATTATACTCTTCAGTCATCATCTGGTTTCTGACTTATGGATTTCTCAAGCGAAGGGTCCAGAGAACAAATTTCAAACCCTTGCTTGCAACTCTGAATCACTTCAGATAGACTTCTGCAAGTGGCCCCTCCTCTCGGGGCTCCCCTAGCCAAAAGTCTTTCTGACTTGAGCCAGACCTTGTACGAAAGTATGCTAGACTGCTGCCTAGTCACAGAATGTTGTGACCAAGGTCCGCTCCCAGGAACTCAAAGTTTTTGAGTCCCCGGCAACGACGTTATTTTTGTCGCGCCCCCACTGCTCCAAGGGTCCGGTGAGATGTCCTTCCCAATACCGAGCTCAGTGGGTTGATGGACTCGCAGGCTGTCATGTAGGATTTTGATAGGTATAAAAATAGAAGTTTATTCTGAGACAGTCACACTTTGTCATACAGCCGAGTAGTCAGGGTTATCCCTCCTGCCAGCGGCGACACGGCTTAGAGTGAGGCGTTCAGGTTTATCGCCTGCACCTGACCCCGTTTAAGGGATAGATCCAAGGTCACCAGAATCCCTATCATTCAGGAGTCCTTCAAGCTGCCTTGAGTGTAACCTGTATAAAATAAGGAGGAAAATAACAAACATGCATCATAGAACAATTGACACTGACGAAATGAGAATACCAGAAACCAGACTCCGCAAGAGTATGACCAGAGATACGAGACTGAAGAGTAGTACACTGAGTATGTAGGGAGCAGTCATTGGAGGGCTGCAGTCACTAATAAATAATAATGTCGTAATACATCAATAGTGACTGAAAAGAGAGAACCTCAATCAATGATAATAAGCGGTACCCCCTCGTGAGTGAGTGCTGTCGTCTGGGACTCCTTGTCTGGCACCCCGTCATTGAGAACCCGCGTGGCTATAGACTCTCGAACCACATAGCTGATATCGAGAGGCGCGGCTGGATCAATCTTGCAGATATAGGCCATGCATCTAGCCATCTCCTCGTTTGCGACGCTCCTTAGATAAAGCTCCTCCGCAAGAATGATGTCGCCTGTAGCTCCAATCAATATCTCAATCCGTCCTCTCCCACCAGAGTAGATGTAGGATACCTCGAGGAAACGGTCTCCGTAAAGGGGCTTTCGATAAGCCTGCATAGCAAAGTCTGTCCCGACCAAATGACTGTCATCTCCGATATATGGGACCGGTCCCTCCCCTCTTGGGGGACCAATAACTGTCTCAGACCTAGGGTCGTCTGACATGTAGGAGTCAATCACCCTCAAGAAGATACCGTGCAAGAAGATACGCAATCCTCCTCAAAGTCGCTCTCCGTTGTCGTCGCTCACCGGTCTCCAGTGCTCCTGTCACTGTCCACAAACTCAGCCTCTATGAGTGTCCCAGTCGAAATAGTCGCCCAGGTCAATGTCACTCACAGAGCAGGGCTCCAAGTCCGACTCATCTATCTCTGATCTCTGGACGCATGTAGTGATTGGGACCCCGGATCTGGTTATCTCTCTCCTAATCCGGTCGTCCTTCCGCCTCTTGTCCTTGCTGCGAGACTCGCTAAGGGGGAAGGGGTTGCACCCATCAAAATCGAAGAGCACGCCCCCAGGTGCTGAAGGGACGCGAGGGAACACCACATGTAGCTGATTGTCCCTCCAGTAGCTCTCCCTGCGAAATATGTAATCAGCAATCCTGTCGTATGTGGTGCCCTTCACTCCCGTCTCTACCCCCTTCACCGAGTAGGTGATGACGAGCGTGTGTCTAGAGGTCGAGGACTCATTAGCCCTGACAGTGAAACTCTGATATGCCACATGTCTGTAGCAAAACCTCTCAATCAATCTACCCCACTTAGGGGCAGTCTATGGTAACAGGCCAGCTTGGACAGAAGGTGCACTCTCTTTAATGCAAATACTCCCTCCAAGACCTGGCCAGATAGCAATCAGCAACTCAATATGGACGCTTGTCTGAATGGCCTGACTGAACTGCAACTCGATATAGGGCCCGCCTCAATGGGCCCAGCTGAACCGCAACTCAATATAAAGCCCGCCTGAATAGGCCCGGCTGAACAGCAGCTATCTCAGAAGAAAGGGCCCGCCTGAAGGGGCAAGGCTGAAAACTGCAACAATCTCGAGAGGTGGGCCTGCCCGAAGGGGCCCGCCTGAATAATCTCAAGTAGGCCCGCCTGAAGGGCCGGGCTGAACAACAAAAATCTCAAATAGGCCCGCCTGAAGGGCCCGACTGAACAGCAACTGATCAGTAAAACATCTCATGCACAGGGACCAGTCACAAATGCTGAATGTACTGGGGCTAGACTGAGCCAGGTCATCTGTGCAGGGACTGAACTGCCAATGCTCTCCATTCGAGGGAAGATATCATGTGCATGAGGTGTTGCTGATCAGCAAGGAAGTAAATCAACGGGAGCATGATGGCAAATCATCTCATCTAGCAATCCTATGCTCGGGCGCACAAGGGCTCGCACTCAAACGACTGCATCTAGCCTGAGCGCACACATATCCAGCGCAAGTGCACACGGGCGCGCACTCAAATAACTATATCCAGCCTGGGCGCACACGGACGCGCATTCTAATAGCAATATCTGGCCTGGGCGCACACGGGCGCGCGCTCTAACTGCTATTCCAGGCTTGGGCGCGCACTTTAACCACAATGCCAAACTTGCTCGCGCATGGGCGCGCACTCTCAAGCTTGGGCGCGCACGGGCGCGCACTCTAACAGCAATATCAAGCTTGGGCGCGCATGGGCGCGCACTCTAACAGCAATATCGAGCTTGGGCGCGCACTCTTAAGCTTGGGCGAGCATGGGCGCGCACTCTAACAGCAATATCGAGCTTGGGCGCGCATGGGCGCGCACTCTGAAGCTTGGGCGCGCATGGGCGCGCACTCTCAAGCTTGGGCGCGCATGAGCGCATAGTTAAATATAATATCTGGTCTGGGCGCGTGCGGGCGCGCACTTAAAAATAATATCTGGTTTGGGCGTGTGCTGGCGCACACTTAAAAATAATATCTGGTGTGGGCGCGTGCGGGCGCGCACTTAAAAATAATATCAGGTTTGGGCACGCGCGGACGCGCACTTAAAATAATATCTGGTCTGGGCGCG